TGTAATTGTTTGCAGAGTGAAACATGAAAACATTTCACTCAAAATTATTCATGCATGCAATACCTATACTATCCTCATTCCATCATAAATCAAAATTCATATACCTCATACATTTATCTGGAACATATTGCCAAGGGAGGTGTTTTCCGAGGCATTAAACCTCCAGAAATTTAAAAAGAACACCCATTCTTACCTTATTTCCCTAGGTTCTCACGATGTTCTCTGAACATTACAGAATATCCCTTTTCGTGGGAACCAGAACATGAAAAAAAAACACAGGGTGATATGAAAAAGTGTTGACACATATATGTCCGAGTATATGTCCGATTTATTCATATACATCCTGTATATTCAAGTAGACTGTTATCCTTCAAACAAAGCTGATACCGTATGAACATGATCTTGTTGGAAAATATAGGGAGACTATGAAGATTTTCGATAATGAGAATGACAAAATTCGTGTTTATTTTTTAATCACCCTGTTATATGCATGATTAACTCGATATGCCCTAATTATTTTATGAAACATATATCATTCGTTCCTCAACACTGTCTGGAAAATTCAGTTTCTTATCATGACTAGTTCCATAGTTATTGATTCAGGAAATTTACCTCAGATATTTTTGGAGTGGATGTCTATGATCCTGAGTAACATCTCCTTCAAATAACAGTGAGTTTACCAAGTTCACATTGCAAAACCCAACTGCTGATAACATTCCAAACAGAATAACAGTAATCATTCATTCATGTGATGACAATGTAAAGAATAGACGGAATAAAAAAATCCCCATAATGTTCGAGAAACATCTCGAGGAACATCTTATATCGTGCGAACTCAATAACAAATTTACTATCTTGACCACTCCATAGATCGTTTGAAATTGATATAGTGACATACATTCTGTTTATCACCCTGTAGACCATGGACATAATAATAGGTCATGAACTTCTCGAGATTTAAAATTTGTATGGGATTTCCAATAAATTGAATTTCGCTTCATCAATTGTTCGTGTAGATCGATTATTTTGCCGCTGAGTTTATCTTCAGCGCGTAATATATATACTAAATAATAAAAAGGTACGCCCATTACTAGACAATCCCTAATGGGTCGTATCTGAACGTGTAATTAGTATTCCCTTTGTTTTAGTGCCTCTCTGTACTGTTATATCGCCACTAGATCAGGTCAGAGTGGTAGTTGCTCACAATATTCCAATTAACTCTTCACAATGGATTTGTTTTATGAAATTGCTAGAATGAATTCAATTTCATTAGGGTAAATGAAGCCACTGGTGAAGTGAACACAAAATTTGATCATGAAATTGAGTTATATAATAATAAAGGGACATGGGATCATATCATACTAAAATTAGTGCACATGAGTAACTTGATCGATATGTCAGAAGTGAATAACATATAATGGATAATATCATCATGTTATCACCATTCCTATTGGCTATCACGAAGACAAGTCAACACTGTCAATGAGGACCTTACTGAAATTTCAGAATGAAGGAATCAAGAACTGGTGTAATTCAACGATATCAGAAGACAAGCAGCTTCTGATAATCTTTATGTGAACTGTCATATATAATATCATTAATCTCCCTTTTTTTTCGTAAGAGCATGAAATATCATTTACTTAGGTTAGATTTAGGCAACTTCTAGAAATCAACACGATATAATTATGTCATCGCATATACTCTTTCTTCTCAGTCAAATTGTATCAAGACATATCAGAAGAATCAGGAGCAAAGAATTTGATAACATTGAACTAAAATCATTCGTATATATCTGAATCACAAAGGTATTATGTAATGAGTTTTATGGAATTGTCAACTCAGAACAAAGAAAATCCACTTATTAAACAAAATTATAAAATACCAATCGATTATATTCCACTTCACTCAACTTCCACTCATATTGTGTGATAAAGTACTGACCAAGTGATCAAAACATTTGAGAAATAGAATTGGACTCCAGAACTAATCCTTGTGCAACGCCTAATGAGACATCCTTGATTTGATTTGAATTCCACTGTTTTCTGATAATTTATTAGACCTCGAAACCTTTCATAAGATACTCAGGCCGCTGATTTTAAACACCCTAGTTCGCATAAATTCGCACATTGCATTTTTTTTGCATGATGTTAGGCTATTTCCCAATAGTATGAAACCAAGTTTGCAGCTCCGGAAGACTTGCGCTAAAAGTGTGGTGCTCGAAAAACCCCGGGATTATTCGACTTTTTTCGGTTTTTAGCGCAAAAATCCCATAAGATGGTTTTCTAAAGAAAAAGTTACATCTACATTTTTTGAAGCTAGATTTAATGCCCTACATTTTGACTCTTATTTCATCTCTCGAGGTCTGATACATCCCGAGATACCTACAGGACCTCAAAAATTGTCTTTTTTTCAAAAATTTGAAAATTGTAGTTTTAGTCCTCTTCTGAGCAAAATATCGGCTCTAATACTCATCCTACGAGGAAAGTTATGAGGAATCAAGTTGTAGTGTATTTATATAGCTTCCATTTGAACCCAAGAGCAAGTATGTAAGTCCAATACCAATATTGTTATCCTTGAAAAACACTACAGCTGAAAATTTGATTTTTCTAGAAATGGAGCGTCACGATTAAATCTGCTGTACCAACATATTTCAAAGAAGGGGAATATAACAACCAATGAACATCGATACCCAACATATTGTTGAGTAATAATGAATACATTTGAATCATGTGAATGTTCGATGGAAAGGGGTGCAGGATTAACGTCTTTTTTGGAGGGACCAGATTCTTTACTGCTTGATCGAGAAGGGCCATCGATTGGAGCCGGGTCATCGATTTATCGGCTTAATCGTTGGAATCCTCCAGTTCGATGGCCGGTTTCTTCTGGCATGATTTGCCTCGGCAAGTTGAGCACAGTCCTGAGCACACGAGACCTGCTTTCCTGCAAGTGCACCCACATATGCAGCCTTTTTTGGACTTATAGGAAATCAGTTTAAGGAGCGTGAGTGAAGCTGGTTGAGCAGCAGGTCTTTCGAAGCTGCAAACTTGGTATTATACTATTGGGACATACCCTGGCAATATGCAAAAAACAATTGGAATGTGCGAATTTATGCGAACTTTGTCATTTTTTTTTGTCTAGGGTCAGCGGCCTAACTCCTTTGACAGCCAAATCATGTCACGATAGCTCAATAGTTTGTGAGAGGTAAACTATTCAAATAAGGCCCTATAATAGTTTATTGCAACTGAATGTACGGGACAGCTTTCACATATACCTTCTTTTACCACAGCAGAGAACGTTATGAGCAAAGATGAATATCACACCAACTGTTTTAGAACTTACCAAACCGATTTTTCAACGCTTTGACCAGTGTTTCGCTAATGATGTTAGCATCTTCTGGAGCTGATGAAAACTAACTGTCATATTCTAGAATTCTACTTTGTGCTTATATTGAAAAACAAGTAATTCACTTGTTTTTTATATCAGACGTTCGACATTTGGATTGACGATATTGTTCTTTGAAACACACATTTTCTACTTCACTGTTTCACCACTAACCAAACTAACTATGTTAGCATGTTCAGGAGAAGATTGAAGTTTTAATCTTCAGTTTTAATCTCCTCCTGAAGATGCTAACATAGTTGCCGAAACACGAGTCGAGGCGTTTGAACAATCGGTTTGGTTAGTAGTGAAAAAGTGTAGTGTATTATCGTGCCAAGGGTTGCATTCTTCGATATACACATTTTCCATAGAAAATAAATTAAATATCACTTTCAGGCCAAGCGATGGGTTCAATATAATGAGGGGTTTTATTTGCGATAGCTCGGAAGGAATTGAAATTCCGTAGAATGGTAGAGATAGGTTCTCTGATAGTCCACCTGAGTTTGTGACTTCGAGGGGTTGCCACTCGAGAGGTGAGGGGATCAAAAACTATGACTTGCAGCACTTGATGGAGAATAGCACCATTGGGGTAGGTTCTTTCGAAAAAATGTTTGAATAAAAAATGTAGAGAACAACATGGTGCACAGCGTTGTGTTTCGTTTTCTTTGGCGTTGACTAAGGTTCACCCTGCAAGGCGTCAACTTTTTATTTTCACTCAAGTTATTCTTCGAAAAATATAGTTTGCAGGAATAAGGTTTATTCAGGACGAGCTGAGTCTAGTAGTATCCTTCTTCATACAGAAATGATTTTTTCCTACCTCATGTTACCTTATTACGTCTTCTTGACCAATTGAATCAGCTTTTCGCAATACGCGTGCCATACGATAAATCATAATATATTCACCTACATGGCTTTGGGCCATATATCATTTTGTTTCCAGATAAAGCTCGAAATCTGCAGCCGGCTTTTGGACTAGTGGCCTCGGTAAACTTGATATTCATAGAATTGTGAAATTATCAACGAACAAAATTGAAAATATGAAAAATGTCTTAGGAGGCCATGTTTTGGTATTTAGGCATACCTTTCAATTGTAGTCAACTTTTAACAATAACATTATGCAGAATTTTCTGAAATAATGGTGCTTATATAATTCTTGACCTACCATGTATGCTGTTTGACTTGCAACCATTCTAGGTGCACCTAAAATGATCACCGAACATGCACCAACTTTCGGCACTGTTTGTATTTTGTTTTTGCAATTTAATGAAAAGATTCCCATATGTTGCACACTCAAATGACCATACTGTATATTACTAATTCAACATATCACTCTGTGAGGAACTTAAAATTTTTTCACTTGAATAAAATGATATGATCATTTCAATGAACAGAATCTGTTTATTAGAACAGATATTGTATTATAGGAACAAGATAGTCTTTGTTTATTCAACCAATTCCTGCTGGCAATTTGTGTCATTAATGAGTTAAATCTGATGAATTTGAAGTTGGAAACTGAAAAAAAAATTGTTGCGATGACCAAGTATTTGGTAGTGGATATATGACATTCAGATTTGGGAATTTACAAAAAATGTTTAGTTTCAAACAATTTTTTTTCTGTGCAGGCGGTCGCATAGACCACGCCCACCACTACAACAACGCGTACCGCGCCCTGGACGAGACCCTGGCCATGGAGACTGCCCTTCTGGCGGCCCTGGCGCTCGTCAACCCCACAGAGACCCTGGTCGTCGTCACCTCCGATCACTCTCACGTGCTCACCATGGGCGGCCAGGCCACGCCCAGGGGACACCCTATTCTTGGTAAGTTCTCAAATGCTTGTATAGAGTTGCCCCACTGTCAGCGAAGCCGAGGCTGTGCCTACTGTTTCGGCTCGTCAGGCACCATCAGTCGCTCTCGGCCTGCCGACGATAGGGAAAACTCAGCGTCATCTTAAAATGACCCATGTCGAAGATGACATATCAAATATGAAGAAGCCGTCTAGCAGAACGCTGTAACATTTGGCGTACACATTAACTTTGTATCTGGGTTTTCCGGGGTCGGAGATTATAATTCTTTCATCAAAATTGGAATATTGAAAATGGCGGATTTAATATGGTGGCCAAGTCTGGTATCACAATTTGATTCAAAATTTGTATCTGAGGGGTTTTCGGATTCATAGATTATGATTCCATCATCAAAATCAGGAAATTAATCTTGCATTTCAGATTCAATATGGCAAACGGCTTTTGTAAAAATGATCGGATTCTATTCAACATGTTTATCTGGAGTATTCGGGATCGAAGATTATGCATCATTCGACAATTGCGATATCCAAGCGAACTGAAAAGGATTAGAAAAATAATACTCCAATAGATCGACGATACAATTCCCAAGTTACTTATAAGGCCTGTTCGTTCGTGCTTGCTCTACCTGCTGAACTTGATTTTTTTTATGACTTTCTCTGTTTACATCATGCCATGAACAGAGACAACTATAGTAAAATAATCAGCTTTAGCAAGTTTAGCATTACAAACGAACAGAGTAACTTGTCATTTCCTTCAGATTATGTATGAAATTATTTTTTTCCATATCAATATTTATGATTGTTCTTGTGAGAATTCAATATTCATTTTTGCATGACGAAGAGAGTTGTTCGTTTCAATATTCATTGAATATAATATGATAGTATTCCTTGATATATTGAATTGAGTCATTATAATCTAGAAGTAATCCGATGTTTTATTGGTGAACTGTGATGATTTCAAAACAAAGATATCGTGACAATTCTAGTTTTTTCCTGCACCCTTCATATCCACCGTACTTGGCGTCACATCCAATATTCTTCATACCTCCCTGCCGGACCCAGTATTTGTGCTTCTTCCATCCAAGCACGTTCATTCCATCCCTAGGGACTATTGTATTCTCCAAAGGATAACGTACTGCCATAATAAATTACGGAGATGTAATCTGGTGGAGTTTAGTATGGAAAAAGGAGGATTATATGTTTTATACGATCGGTGATACGATGAACAGCATGAATCCCGCTACCTTTCAACTGTTTTGTTGGAGAAATCGAAATGGAATCCAATATTGATGAACTAACGGATGTATCGAAAATATACCGGGTATCCTAGAATTTCGGGGCTAGCAGATATAATGATATGGAATCAACGTTTCGTTGAACAATCTACTAGAAACCACCCTTTACTTTGGTTTTCCAAATTGCACCCCTATATTTTTTTCGGTTCATCTTATGGAAATTATCATTCTCAATTCGGCAATACATGCACGATCGATATGGCCTCACAGTCAAAATTATGAAGGAGTTAATGATTTTGCAGGGTTGTTGAACTGTTATAATATACTTCCAGTTATTTCTTGAGGAATCGAAGGTACACACTAGGTAATATAAGGTGAGTTTATCAAGTGATATAGTAGAAGAACCAGCTGCAGATTTCAACCGTCATCTGATAACGAAATTATATATGTCCCAAAGAAATGTAAAAGCACCTATGCCAATCACTATCCAGACCAAAATAGCACATAACGACATGAGATTTATGCCATTCGAAATCAGTTTTATAGTAGATCTCAAAAACCTACCTGTGCCACATCCCTCAGTCTGAGTCAAATCCACGACACAGCGATTCATTTGTTCCTATTATTTCGGACATACTACCGTCATGTGATAACGAGTTCAAACAAGAGGCGAATGAAAGGGAAAATTGTCCCTTTGGCGAATATTCAAATCACTGGTCCATCGGATATTATCTCCAGAGGAGGGCAAAATATTCTGAGGAGTATCAACGCTCTGCCACTAACTTAGATCAGTTTGAATCGCGGCACGTTTGGATATTCAGAAAAGCGACATCATCCCGTTTTATTTGCCTTATTTCTTCAACTTATTATCACATGACGGTATTATGTTCGGAATAATAGCAGCAAATAAATCGTTGTGTCGTGGATTTGGCTCAAACTAGGGGGTGGCACAGGTAGGCTTATGAAATCTTTCATTCAATTGGTATCGGATAGCATAATTTTCATCTCGTTCACAAAATCGCGTGCTTTGCGCACGGGAAAGTGCAATTTTTCAATCATTTTGCTCAGGATAGTGATTGGCACAGGTGCCATTCGATAAACTACAATGTTTTTACATGCCTCTGGGACATATATCATTTCGTCATCATCATCAGATGACAGTCGAAATTTGCAGCCGGCTCTTAATAATAGTAATAAGAGTCATTTCAAACAGAAATTTTAAGAAGAATCGAATTTGTTCGGAATTTCCATGAGAATGCAATTTGGAAAAATCGAAGTCGAGGGTGGTTTCTAGTCGGTCGTTTGACATGAGGGTGATTCGATTCCTTGTCTCAAAGACTTTCCCAGGCAACCAGATGACGAATGATCACGGTACTGTGACGTCCCTGATTCATGATTTCTCTTCAGAGACGTCACACACCAATTCATGATGTCACTATGACGTACTTTCTATGACGTGATAGTCACGTCATTGTTTCGACGTCGAGTGTACGTCACTTAGATGGGTAAAAGAAGACGTCAGTTTCATGACGTTGCAGGGACGTCCTGTCGACGTCCTATTTCCCAGATCTTCTCTAAACCATGGATACTTATTTATTATCATGTGAGACAGAAGAATAACTCATGGAAGCAAATCAACATGCATGTTTTATTGGAATTATTGATCTACCCAAAAATAAGTAGGACAAAACTTTTTTCTGAAAAGCTTTGAGACACTGTATATTTCGGAAACCAACAAACTATGTATATATTCAAATGATTGTTTTGGTACACCCATATTGGAACCGTCATTCTTATGACGTAGCAGTGACGTATCTATGATGTCAAAAAATCACGTCGGTGTGACGTACCTATTTGTTGAGCTTCGTCGTTCAGAAAATTTTCCAATGATTTGCTATTTAGATTTTTGTTGAGTGACAAAGAATACATCAATATACATTATTCAACAAAGTGAAGCCAGATTCGCCATCAGCCTTTCCATTGCTATCAAACTACATAATTTTTTATACAAATACGAGTAACTGATTGCATTCTGATGGAGATACGTACTAAAGGATAGCGCTGCTGAATAGGCGATTGAATGGACATGACACAGGAGGGACCCACCAAGCAGACTCAACAATGCATAATTAATATTATATATTATATGTCATCAGAAACCAGTGGTGTTTATTGAAGAGATCTCTTTTACGTATCATCACCAGTTTTGAACGTCATTTTGACGTCATTATAACATCAGTTGGACGTCACAGTTTGGTGATTGAATGACGTCAATACGACGTGAGTAATATGACGTCATTGGGCTGTGACTTAATCACGTCATTCATCACGTCATGCGACGTCAACTACTGACGTCACCTTGGTCATTCAAGTGATGTAAAAAATACGTCACCGGAACGTAATCTGGTTGCCTGGGTTTCTCTCCCATATATTTCACAATTTTTGTTTTCTTTTGTGTATGTTAGAATAACATTTATGTTGGAAACACCTCTAAAATTGGCATTCGAAAATAAATTCACTTCGAATGAGTTCAAAGAAAAATTCATATCAGTGCGTAGTAATGTATTTTTCAAAGGTAGATTGTTTAGCATAGAATTCCTATTTGAACTTCGAGGTGAATATTTTCTGGAAGGAATGCTGAGCCTTTTGTTTATGAAGCAAGTATTCTAACTTCAGTCGACTTCATAGGCCTTGTACTTCTATTGATGGAACCTTCTGCATACCAGTTTTTCCTTGCTCTCTTGTCATCATGAGAATATTTTCTGAGCTCTGGAGTTATCGGAATTCCGAACATATTGATGTGTTTCTCGAGAGTGAAATATTAAATCATCGTGAACGATATTCACTCTGTTTTTCAGTATTGAGAAATACATACATTGCTTCAGATTTGAAATGAATCATGAGAAGAATGCATGACGACTGAATATCAATAAAAATGTAAAATATGTATATTCCAACATATCTATTGAATGTCACTATATGGAAATGTCTGCTGAAAACACGATCATATTAATTTCATGAACGTTTGCAGTGGAGAATATTATCACTATACAGGAGCTTCATACAATATTATCTTGTTCCCTGGAGGCTCAAAATGATATATTTCTCCATATATACAAGGTGTTCTCGAAGAGATTTTATGAATAGAATGTGAATTAAATAGACAGATCTACCTAATATCATCTTAATAAAAGTTGGATGATAGAGGCCCTAATAACACACTTATGTCCCATGGATATTCTTAGGACGTCCTGTCGGGACATTCAAGACGTCCATAGGACGTTCGTCTGTGGGACGCACAAATGTCCCACTTGAGGACCAACTAGGGACGTCCTTGAGGGATGTCCCTGGGACAACTATCGAATACCCAAACCCTACAGTATTCCTCATCAAACACTACAGAGGACATCCTTTAAACATCCAAAGGACAACCTATCAGCAACGCTGAATGATATCAATGGATGTCTATAGGATGTCCCAGGGACGTACGAATTATTCTTGAATTCGAATTTTTCTGGGTCCCTCCAGGACCAGATCTTGCATAACTGATTAAGACATCCAGTTGAGTTGATGGTCCGTAGAAGGTCCCCAAAAAGTTTCCCAAGGATGTCCAATGGACTTACATGAAGGACATTGACGAGGAGTACACATAGCCTACGAGCAATCATTCGTCGGCGAGGTTTAAGTTAACGTCCTCGCAGGGACAAAATATTGAAAGTACCGACTGGGACGTCCATAGGACGTTATTTCTAGGATATTGGAGGAGTACAGTTTATGTACC